TTAAAACCAGCGCCCACCCGCAGAGGGGACCTGACAGAGCCCTCCATGGGGCCGCTCCTGCTTTTCCCATCCTGCCCATAAAGCTCGGATTAAACAGAAGGATTGAGGCATCGTCCGTGCTGGAGGTGGGGCCCTGAGTGCTCCGGGGAGCGCTGGCACAGGGATCAAGGATGCACATGGCACGAAACCTCAGTGCTCAGCCCCTTCCCTGAGCTGCTGCTCAGCCCCTCTGCACACTCACGCAGTTCCACTCCACAGAGGGTTTTTCCGTGGTTACAAGTACTGGGTTCTGATTTTTCCTGGAAAGCCAAGCTCCCCATCTCCTCGGAGGGGAGGCTGCTGCCCTCCAGCCCCACCAGCCTCCATATACCCTGTGGCACTGCAGGATTCCACACTTTTGTCTTCAAGATTTCCCTGCCAAAGGGCAGACCCAGCATTAAGACATCACAGGAAAATCCAAAATTCACTGCGAGCCACCACGAGGGTTTTCCAGATGCCCAAGATAAGCCCATCCTGGGTACCAAAAATGTAACCCCAGGAACATATCCTGCCCTCGCAGATATTATCACACCCACGGATGCACTGCCCAGGGAAGCAGCCCTGGATGATTGTACCAAACCATAATCACACCAGAGTCACTTTATTGCTCCTTGAACAGCCTCAGACAGAGACAAAGAATAAATCCAAATTATTAAACATCTTAATCACTCCTTGTCACCGAGCACAAAGAGATGAGGTCTTGAGCACCACCTGTGGTGGAGCCACACCAGAAACCACACTGTGGGGCTGAGCAAGGGGCTGAGCAATGTTCACCTCTGCCCTGGACATTTGACCACCACCCAGGGTGATTACACCAAGCCTTTGAGGCTTTGAGTGGGGTTTTTGATCCCCACTTCACTTGAGGTTTCCATCCCAGTGCCTTCCTCCACCACGAGGAGCAGGGGACAGTAAGTGCTCCTCTCCTGTGCAGGGACGATGGAGAGATAGGAGTGCTGGAGTCTGTGAGCTGGTGAGACACATTGCTATGGAAACAGGAGCACCACACACTTGAGACAGACCTGGAGGAGAAGCCAAACAGAGCTGAGAGATGCAGAAGAACAGGAGAGTTGCTCTAACCCTTTCCAGCTGGGTGCAGGCACCACATGTCCCCCGAGGCTGAGGAGTGAGAACATCCAAGAAGAGAGAAAGCAGAGATAGGTGAGGCAGGTCAGCTCTGCTGGGAGGCTCCTCCCTGCTCAGGAGGGACAGATGGAGTCAGGACCACCTGCAGCTCCCTCTGTGTGACTTCACTGGGTGAGAAACCAGCCTTGAAGCCAACAAGTCCCCACCTTACCCTTCATTCCTCCTGCCACAGGTTCACAGGCACATCCAGTGTTCAATCATTGAGACCTTCTCAGCACCACAGGCCACTCCATCCCCCCCTTTCCCAACAAAGTCATGTGGGAATGAAGCACCTCAAACCATTCCAGCTCCACAGGAAAACCTGCCTTTTCCTTAAGATGCTTCCTCACATGTTGAACCTCCCTGCTCGAAGCACCAGCCTCGTTTCTCACCCAATTCCCTCTCAGCCACCATTTCCCTCTTGTACTTTTATTCCCCTGCATGTTTAGCTCTTCCAGAGATATTCCATTTGAAAAAAAAGCCACCTCACAGTCTTCTTTTTGAGGAGCTGAACAACACAAATTCTTTTTCCCCTCAACCAGACACTTTTTTCCTCTTCACCCATCACAAAAAATAAAATGTGAAGGGATCTATCCTGCCTCCCAGTGCTTAATTAGCAGTGTTTTTTCTCCCCATTTGCACAGAAATTGCTCCCACAAGTGTTTCAGGGCTTCCAAAAGCGACAGTTTTATCACTTAGTCATTGAAGGTTTTCAAATCCCTCAATTAGCCACAATTCACAGCAGTTTGAGGAAGCCGAAGAGCATCGGCAACTTCTGTAACATTCGACACAGAAGCATCTTCTAAGTGTCTCTTTTATGTGGCTTTGCCCATAATTATGGCAGGGAGATAAAGTTCTGTAATTTATTTCCACTAATACAGCGAGGCAGCAATTGATGTTTTTTTATGAGGGTGAATATGTCTGTGGGATGTACTAATGTTTATAGGCCGGTAAATTTGATTTATATGGAATAATCAGCACTGCTATCGGTAAAGGCCCAGAGAGCTAATATGATTTGCATTGATGAGATTAATATCAATTTAAAGCTTCCAGGTTTGCAGAGCACAGCTGACTCCTGATTCCTCCCGGCTCCCACCCCGGCAGGTTAAGGGGATTTTGCTTTGCAGGCAGTGAGCTGGTGTTTGACCCCAAAAACCTGACAGATCTTGAGGGATTTGGTTGTTCTCTCTGGTCTGAGCCGCAGAAATGACAGGTTTACTCCTGCAGGAGGAGTTGCTGGCTCTGCTCAGCCCTTGCTCCCTTCGTTTAAGGACATGCAGTGTCACAGAGGGGCAAAGGATGGACACGTGTGCCGGGGTGTAGGGCAGCAGCAGCCTCTGGATGTGTCTGCTCGCCCCTCCGAGCCAGGAGGAAGGGGTACGAGGGACTTTCTGCCTGCAGAAACTCGGGATCACGGCGGTGTTTCAGTGCCCTCTTGTGCCAAAGCACCGACGGTGTTTGAATGCCTTTCTTGTGCCCAAGCACCAAGGGTTGACAGAGGAGCTAAACCCGGGGAGATGCTTGTGCCAAGGTCTCCTGAGTGGTTTTGGAAAGAGGGGAGAAAGTTTTTGTTTGATCCTGATCTCTGAAGAGGTAAAACCTCTTAAAAATTAGGCTGAATGCTTTAACTACCGAGTGCTGTGGATCTCAAGGGAGGTCACCCATGGCTGGGAAATAAGGGGTGACTTGGGGTGACTTGGTGCCCGTGGAGTACAGGGGGAGGTCCCTCACCTGCACCTGAGACACCGAGGCTACAGGTTTTCTTTCCTGGGGGAAAGAGCTGGTTTTCCCTTGCAGGAGCCAAGTGCCCGAAATTGCGAGTTCACCTCCGAAAATTATATGTGGGTGAAGATTCCTCCCAGACAAGAGGGGCCAGGACAGAAAGGTCTTGCTGCCCACGGTGTACCAGGGTAACCCATCACCTGCACCTGAGATCCCAAAGCTATGGGCTTGCTTTCCTGGGGGGAGCTTGGCATCTACTCACCCTCCACTCTGCTGAGAGACCTCCACCAGCAGTCACAGAGTCACAGAGTGCTCTGGGTTGGGACAGAGCTTAAAGCTCATCCAATTCCACCCCCCTGCCCCTAGCGCACGCGCGCCACTTCCACGCAGGATTGTCCAAGCCGTCACTGGCCTTGGACACTTCCAGGGATCCAGGGGCAGCCACAGTTTCTCTGGGCAACCTGTGCCAGGGCCTCCCCATCCTCACAGCCACCAATTCCTTCCCAATATCCCATCTAACCCTGCCCTCTGGCAGTGGGAAACCATTCCCCTTGTCCTGAGATTCCATGCCCTTTAAAATAGCCCCTGGTGCCTGGGGAGGGGTTTAAGTCATGGAGAGAACATCTAAGGCACCAAACCAACTACTCCAATAAAACCTAACACTGGTGGAATCTGCAAAGTCCAGGCTGTGTCTGGTTGCTCTCCCATTGTTCCCTTGATCCTCCCTCTGGAGCACAGCTTTGTTTGGAGATCTCTGCACCACCCCAGCCCAGGGCTCTGTGCCTTTCCTTGGCGTGGTCAAGGCCATCATCAAACAACACTGGACCCTGCTGCTTTCCTCTTCCACCAGCCTGTCTGTCTGGGAGAGTTTTCCATCCCTGGGAATGCTACTGTGACAAGCTAAAAATCCCCTCTTCCATCCCCAAAGCACAAAGTAGCCACAGGCATGGATTTGCATTTTCCTTGTCAATTTTATTTGTCTCCAGGGACTGCAGTGACCTTCAAAAGGGAGATTTAATTGAAAAATATGAAAAGGAAGCTCCCGTTTATTCATCCAGAGCCGAAGTTTCCCTGTGTTTTGCAGCCAGCCGAGAACAAGCACCTCTCCAGTGAGGCTGAGCCTGCCCTGCACTGATGAGCTGTACATTCCACACACACACATGTACATTACACACACATGTACATCACACACATGTACATTACACACACATGTACATCACACACATGTACATCACACACATGTACATTACACACATACACGTGTATGTTATATTACACACACATTATAGACACACACATGTACATCACACACACATGCACTGCACACACGTGTACATTACACACACATGTACATTACACACATACATCACACACACATGTACATCACACAATGTACATCACACACATGTACATTACACACACAAACATTACACACACAAACATTACACACACACACATCACACACGTACATTACACACACATTTACATTACACACATGTACATCACACACATACATAACACACACGCACTTTACACACACACACACGTCTCTCACACACATACACAGACACAGACACAGACACAGACACAGACACAGACACAGACACACACAGACATACATCACTCACACACACACACACATACATGTCACACACACACACACACATACGTCACACACGTCACACACACACACACAGACATGTCTCACACACACAGACACAGACACACATACATGTCACACACACACACACACACATACATGTCACACACACACATACATGTCACACACGTCACACACACGCCCAGTGGGCGGAGCCTGAGCTGGCAGTGGGCGGGGTTCCGGGGGCGGGGCGATCCCCGTGGGCGTGTCCCGGTGTGCGGGGGCGGGGCCAGCGGCGCCTGGCGCTGACTCGCTCCGGGCGGCCGCCGCAGCGAGCGCCGCCGGGGCCTCCCCGTCCGTGCCCGCCGGTCCGTCCGCCCGGCCCCGCCATGGCCGGCCGCGGCGCCTTCCCGCTCACCGCTGCCCGCCGCCGCCCCGCCGGCCCCGGGGCCGCCACCGCCCTGCTGCGCGGCCCCAGCCCGCGCCCGCCGCCGCCGCCGCCCCGGGGTACCGCGCCAATGGGCCGGCCCGCCGCGCAGTACCAGGTTGAGGAGCCCGGGGGCACCGCGCGGGGCGGGGGGGCGAGGGGGCTCGAGGGGCTCTGGGGAGGGTGGCGGTGCTGGGCCGGCCCGCGGGGCCTTGGCGGCAGCGTGGCCGGGCCTGGGCGGCATCGCCCCGAGCAGGGCCCGGGACCCCCGCCCGGAGCCCCAGTGGGACCCTCTTCCTTCGCGTTTTACTCGGGACACTTCCTTCGTCCCTCCCTCCCACTTTTTAGTCTCAAACCCCGGTAAAAGTTTGTCCGGGCCCGTGCCCAACACGCAGCGGGGGGGACCCCCCCGGGGCGGGGTGCTGGGACCGTGAGCCCCGGGCCCGGGTCCGCAGCCACCCCATCCCATCCCATCCCACGGCCGGGAACCGCCTGGAACACTTTATCTGCGTCCTTGGCAGAGGTGGAGGTAACCACGAGGTGTGTGCGGTGCAGGTGTGCATCCTCTGTGCATCCTCTGTGGATCTTCGGGAAGGAAAAAGAGGTGGTGAAGTGGTGGATGAGGTGCTTGGTAATGTTGGGGGAAAGCAAAACAGGGAGCAGCCCTCAAAAAGCAAACAAATCGCTCGTTTTCCAGCCTGAGCATCTCTTATAAGTATTTTCAGGCAGTAAGAGGAATGTTTACAAGGGCCTGGAGCGACAGGACAAGGGGGAATGACTTGACACTGCAGAGGGCAGGGTTAGATGGGATATTGGGAAGGAATTCTTGGCTGGGAGGGTGGGGAGGCCCTGGCCCAGGTTGCCCAGAGAAGCCGTAGTTGCCCCTGGATCTCTGGAAGTGTCCAAGGCCAGGTTGGACGGGGCTTGGAGTAACCTGGGCTAGTGGAAGGTGTCCCTGCCCATGGCAGGGGGTGGGACTGGATGATCTTTAAAGTCCTTTCCCGCTCAAACCATTCCATGTTTCTGTGATATTCCAACAGTAGGAAGTATATCCTGACATACCCTCCTGCTCCCCCTTGCACACCCAGCTTGTCGGTTCACTCTGAGGCTCGTGCTGATTATTTTGGTCGTTAGTTTTCTGGTGTAAGGCTGAGTTTTCCGGGCAGGCTGGAAATGGAGGAGCCCGGTTGTGGTTGTGCAACAACACGTTCTCATGGGCGCCGATGCCTCCTCCAGAGCTGTGCCTTATTTGCATTAATTAAAACTTCAGAAATAGCCCAAGCTGAGGGAAATTCCAGCTCGCTAATGCAGGATGAGGAAACGACTTCCTCCTGCAGCCTGAAAAAACGCCAAAAAATGGTGTTGGGAATGGAGCTGGCCCAGCCACGGCTGTAACTCGAGGCAGAGGCGAGCGGGCACTGGGTCTGCCCTGACCTTCCATGGGGCAGGTTGCAAAATCCAGCTGGGAAGCTGGAGCCAGGCTGGCATATGCTGGCTTTCCCCCCTCCCTGCTGCTGGCTGGGATCACAGCAGGTGTTGGGAGGGTGATGCATCCCGTGCATCCCTCCCTGTGGCATCAGCCCCGGGGCTGGGGATGAGTGGCCTCATGTCCAGCCACAAGCTGCATCCTTGTGCCTGGGAAGGGAGATGATCTGGGAGGGTCTGTCCTTTGTTTTGCAACTCCTAGGCTGGGAAAAACAACCCCTCCCCTCCCCGTGCCCATCCCTGCTGTGCCCAGAGGACTTCTCGGCTTTGTTAGTCCCGGCTTAATGAAGAGCTTCGTTATTGGGGCACCAGGAGACACAACGGGCCCCATCCACTCCAGTGAGGGCTTAGGGGCTCTAATCACTGGATTATGAAACATATGCTCGTCCTTTTGACATCCTTTGGGCCTGCTGGGGATTTACTGGAGACTCAAATGGGGAATCCTAGAGGACGACTCCCTTTGGGGGTTCCTTTTGGGAGCTGATGTGTCAGAGCAGCCAGGTGCTGGTGCCATGCCTGGAGCAGGAAGGAGAGGAGGGTGATCAGCTTGAGCTGTCAGGCTGTGTGGTGGTGGGTCTGTGGGCAGATCCCCCATCCTGATCCCTGTCCCTGTGCCTGGGGCAGCAGAGATGCCGAGCCTGAGCCCCAGCATCCATGTTGTGCTGTCCCACTAAGTTCAGTGAGAAAGGAGCCATCCTCTTTGTTCAGGTACTAGTTTTGGAGTTAGGAGAGTTTTTCCCCGAGTTATGGGATTGACACTGTGGCAGGGATTGGTGTGGGTCTGTGTGGAGATGGGACCTTGGAAGGCAGTGCTCTGGCCTCACAGTGACCCCAAGCTGATGCTTCACTGGTGCACAGAGGTGGCAAAATTAGGTGTCTCTGTAAAGGGGTTTCATTGATATTTGCAGAGCCTGGTTTCCATGGGACAGGAGGCTGCTGCAGTCCAGGAAGCTCCTAAGCCTGGAAGCAGCTCAGTGATCCTATCCCTGGGCAGGTGGCAGTGGGAAGGAAAGCAGAGTCGTGCTTTGTGGAGAAATACATGGAGACAGTGGGATGGAGGAGCTGGAGGAGTGTAGGTTGTTGGTGTGGAGCCAGGTGAGAGCTGGGGAGGCCTGGACACGTTGGAGAGGATGAAGTGTGGAACGGGAGAAATCCACCCTGTTTGGGAGCAGAGAAGAACAGTGTTCCTGCTCATTTGGATTGGCTTGAAGGGGGCCTGGAGACAACAGCCAGGGCTGGAGCTGATCCAGAAAGCTGGGATGCTGCTTGTGCTGGATGACCCCACCCTTCCCAAGGGAGAGGGTTTCCAAGGCAGGTTTCATCACAGCCCGAGCCTGGAGTTGGTTTCAGCGATGATACAAAGCAGATGAACAGTGTCCTCGTGGAGCAAGGGGGAGGAAGGCAGAGCAGAGACTGCCTGACAGTGAAGTTCTGGGGGAACAACAACATCTTCAGAACTGGAGGCCCTCACCCCCTCTGCCTCCATAGGACCTTCCCAGGAGCGGCTCCCTGGGCAGTTTGGCACTGCTGGGGTTTGTGCCAGGCACCCATCCCTGCTCCTCCCCTGTGCCTCACGCTGTGTTAGCAGCTCTGGGGAGGAACCCAACACCTTTGTTCCTTGTTCCTGCTGCTGTTACTGCCCGTGTTATGATCTGGATTCCCATGACATCCACAGCTCCAGGTGTGAGACCTTGGATGAGCAGGTTTGTCTGGACCCAGAGAGCTCTGCTGGTGCTGGAGACGTTCCCAGCACGTGTCCTCAATCTGCTGGGAGGTTGTTCCTGGTGCCGTGCCCTTCTCTCTGATTTACTACTTCCTTGTCTATGGTTTTTAGCTGATAAGTGATCTGGCTCCTGAAGCTCCTCCTATATTCAAACCTGACAGCTTTTCCAAGCATGATAAGATGCATGGGGAAGTTTGGGAGCAGTTTTGGGGCTTGCTGGGAGCAGGGAGCTGAGGGAGTGATTGCAGCCTGCAATGACATCTTGATAGCACCACCACCTCCCAGATCAAGATCCCTGCCAGCACCAACCCAGGCTCTTCCTGGCACTTTCCCAGAGGCATTTGTTCACAGATAAGGACAAACAAAGAAGGGGAAACATCTTTTGGGGTGTGCTGGGGGGCTCAGTTGGTCCCGATCCATGCAAAGCCCCAGGTTGGGTGGTGGCTTTAGGGAGCCAACCTCTCCTTGAGCCCAGCCTGATGTGGAGCTCAAATCCTGTTTGAACAGGGTTTGTTTCTGAATCCTGATGGGAAGTGCTGCTGCCTGGGCATGAGGGAAGGAATGTGCAAGAAGAGCTCTCTTGCTTGGCCAGGGCTCTGCTCCCAGAGCCCCAGGCAAGGATGGATTTGAGCTCCCATTCCCTGACTTGTTAGCGTGTCCAAAGTTGATCACACGTCTGTGGACGGAGCAGAACAGGACGTGTGTTGGGAAGAGCCTTTCCCCCTCGCTGTGGAGATGCCAGGAAGAGCCGTGACCTTGGAGGGAAGATGAAGAGGCTCTCGAGCTGTTTTTAGAATTGCTGCTTTGCTTCAAGCTCATTCTTCCTCCTGCAGCCCCATCCTGTGATTTATTGCTTCTCTGCTACCAGCCCCTAATTTCTGAGCTGCCCTTCCTCAAGAAGGGGCCTCTGGCAGGCACAGAGGCTCCCATCAAGCCAACGAACATCCATCAGGAAGCCTCCCAGCCTCCCGTTGGACTGGGCTGAGGCTGAGTCTGAGCAGAGCTCCCCAAAGGCGAGCGGCCTGTGCACTGACCTGGGATGAACCGCGAAACCGCAGCCGGCCCCATCCGCTCCTTGGGCTTTGGCAGGGAACAGAAACAAGCTGTTTTCTGTCCCATTTCCAAAGGCTCTGCAGGGAAGGCTGGATGGGATCCAGCTTGTTCCTCGGCGCTGAGCTTGCACGGTTTGCCCTTTGTCCGCCCCGCTGGCGGGGAGGGGACGAGGCGGGACCCGGAGGGGTGGGCAGAGGGACAGGGGGTGTTCGACAGAGATGAGCTGAGGGAGGACTCCTTGGTTTGAGCTGGTTTAATGACATTTCCTGAGTTTAAGCCCTCCTGCATCCTGCTCATTTCCAGGGCTTCCAAAAGGGGCTGGAAACAGGCTTCACCCCCAGGGCTGTGGTGCTGCTTCCTGGCTTAGCTGGAGATTTAAGGCTGCACTTGCGTGAGATGGGTCTTGGCAGCCTTTGGGCAGGAGGTGAGAGGCTGAGACTGCCCAGGACAGAGGTGCAGTCACTGATTGAGCCAAGAGGCTTCTCTGTTAGAAATGTGAAAAGCTTAAGGGTAAACTGAGAGGAAAAAACATCCCTGTGGAGGGTTCTGCCCTCCATTTTATTGCTCGTCCAAGCGATCAAATGCAGGTCCCTGGTGGGCTGGAACTCACTCTCCTGCCAGCTGAACTGTGGCTGATGGCTCTCAGGTGCTTTTGGAGTTGATGTTAAAGTTGAAGCGTGACAGATCTGTTCATCTTTGTGCTGAACCTCTCCCTGCCAACAGAATTGTTTCAACTGAGCAGTCTGGCCCTCCAAAGAGCAGATGGACATGCAGGAGACCTTGCAGAAGGTGTTGTCACTGTTATGGAGCTGTTGAAGACTCCCTCAGCTGACTTCAGCCAAGCCTCCAAATCTCTCATTTGAGGGATAGATCAGAATGTGACCCATGGAGTGGCAGAGGAAGATAGGAGGGACCTCAGGGCATGACAAGAGCTGCCCTGGCTGAAGGACAGGAGCTGGTTGTGGCCATGCCACCTCCAAGCAAGCTGCCAACAGCATTCCATGTGCAGGGAAGGGTCTGTGTAGTCATGTCAGGAACCTCTCTGGCCTTCCAAGCAGTTTTCCTTTAGCACTGATCACGTGTGGGCTTGAAAAACACCCAGGGCAAGGGTTTCCCTACCAGCCATCTGCCTCTTCTGGGGAACTGCAGGTTCTGTTTGCAGCCTCAGCACTACACTGAGCTCCTCTTGGGGCCCAGAGATTTCAAATTAAAAGTTTCCCAGCTGCTTCTCTCGGTTTATCTAGTCCCCAGAAGCCTTTGCAGGTGAGTCAGCACTGTTATGGGCTACACAGTCCTCCGTGCTGGAGTGGCACAACAATATTTACTGTGGTTTTCCATTTTGCGAAGGGCGTGGGGCTGCCCCTCCTCCCAGCCCTGCCACAACGGATTTCTTGATAAACCCGCCGAAACTGTGTTCTTGCCTTGTGGTTTTTGGCAAAAAAAAAAGGTGCTGCCGGCCGGGGTGATGCTGACACAGTCACGAGGAGTTGCGCAAATGGGGCTGATGCGGAGGGGAGAGGGGAACATCTGGGAGCCGAGAGGAGGAAGGAGGAGGCTCCTGCCCTGTAGCAAGGGCAGGTCAGCCAGCCCGGGCTCTGGAGGTGCCTCTTCAAAGGCGGCTGGGCCGGGTTTGGTTGTGTAACGGGCTCAGCCTGTGCCGTGCGTGTGTTTTCGAGCTCCCACGTGCGGCACTAATCCTGGGGCCCCGCCGCTGCCCCGGCTCCCGGCTGGAACACGCTGCTCTTTTCGGCGTCTCCCGCTCGCAGAGGCGCCCGTGGCGCAGCTCAGGCTCCGGGCTTTGTGTTCAGCAGCTTCTCAGGGAGGTTGGGGTGTGTTTTCTGGGGGTGTGTTTTGGCTGCAGCTCTCAGTGAGGGCGGTGCCCCCGCGCTCCCCCTCCTGCACCCAGGGTGTGCTCCAAAATTGATCCCCGTGTGCAGGTAAGGAGGTGGCTTCCCTAAATCCCTTCACAGCACAGTCCTGTGCCCTGGCAGGACGGGGAGAGAAGCTGAGGGGATGTCCTGGCATGTCGAAGAGCCTTAGGCAGGGGAGAAATGTTGCTCTGCTGGCTTGGTGGCTCTCCCAGCCTCAAGGATCAAAGGATCCCGGGAAGCTGCTGGCTCAGCCCTCAGGTGGAGCAGGCTGGAGCACGTAGGGGCAGCTGGTGGGTCATGGGGTGCTGTGACCGACTGTTGAGGATCCCAGTAGGGTGGTGGGTGTTAACCTGGTGGCACCTGTGAGGCCCAGCCACTGCTCTGGGGGTGCTCCAGGGCTGGGAGCCCTTGCAGTGGTTGGGTATTGTCGTGTCTCCTGAATTCCCTGTCTGGGTCCCTGGAAGGGGAAAGATGGAGCTGGCTGCTTCCTCCAGCCCTCAGCTTTCTTCCTGCCTGCTGTTAGGAAGTGGGATTGCCCTGCTTCCCCCCCCTCCCCGTGCTGCTTTCCGGAGAGGAACCCACGGCACAACCCACAACATCCCCGGGCTGCGTCACTGCTTCCAAATGAATCCAGTTTGTGTCTTCCCTCATGTTTTGCTACTTTACGTCCAAACTGCAGCCATGAGCTGTGTTGTTAAAACCAGCCCCAATCACTTAGTCTCAAGAAGATCTGCTGTGAAACTTTCTCCAGAGCACAGGAGAGCCCTGTTTCAGAAACATGTATTTATTTAGTGAGATATCCCTGCAGATACTGAGGTATAAAAAGATTAATTCAATTTAGGACAGGGTGCCCAGGGCTGTGTTCAGTAAGTATTTGACTGTCTTTAAGATCCCCAAACCTCTCTAGGCCCCCATTTAAGTGTTTTGAGTAGGCTTTGCAGGCAGTGCCCTCGTGACACTCCAGGTCTGGTGGCTCCAGGCCACGAGTGGCTTCAGCCCTGTGCCAGCTGGCAGGGCACGCTTCCTCTGTGGCTTCTGCTCCTCCTGCTTCTGCTTTCCCATTGCTCTTCCTGCGGCAAGGAAAGGCTGCAGCTCCTGCTGTCCTTCCCTCCTCGCTGCCCTGTCCTTGCAGGATACACCCTCAGGGATCTCTGCCGGGGAAGGGGGCGGAGGGTGGGTGGTTGGCAGGACCCAGCCGTGTTTAACTCACACCCTCCTCTCTCCCCACAGCGCCCTGGGATGCCCCCCGGGGGCAGGATGCCCATGGCAGGGCTGCAGGTGGGACCCCCTGGAGCCCCCCCGTACGGAGCAGCCTCCCCGATGAGGCCTGGCCTGCCCCAATCCATGATGGATCCCTTCAGGAAGCGCCTGCTGACCCCCCAGGCACAGCCACCCATGGCCACCCAGAGGAGAGGGTAAGGGGCTGGAACACTCTGCTCCAGGGAGGACACCCTCGGGAGGCAGGAGGAGGGGGGGTTGTCCTGCTGGGTCCTGGTTGCACTTTGTGGAATCATGGAATGGTTTGGGTTGGAAGGGACTTCAAAGCCCATCCAGTTCCACACCCTGCCAGGGGCAGGGACACCTGCCACTGTCCCAGGCTGCTCCAAGCCCCATCCAGTCTGTCCTTGCACAGTCCCAGGACTAACTAATCTGTACTGAAAGGATGCTGCATCACTGCTTCCAAATGAATGCCATTTGTGTCTTCCCTCATGTTTTGCTGCTTTACATCCAAACTGCAGCCATGAGCTGTGTTGTTAAAACCAGCCCCAGTCACTGTCACAAGAAGATCTGCTGTGAAACTTTCTCCAGAGCACTGGAGAGCCCTATTTCAGAAACATGTATTTATTTAGTGAGATATTCCTGCAGATACTGAGGTATAAAAAGATTAATTTAATTTAAGACAGAGTGCCCAGGGCTGTGTTCAGTTTGACTGTCTTTAGGATCCCCAAACCTCTCCTGGTCCCTACTGAAGTGTCTGACAACTGTCATGTCATGCACAGACCCCCAGCTCCCTGCCCTGCTGCAGAGATTTCCCCCAGACTGGCACCACAGGCAGCAGGGAACCTGCCAGAGCTCGGGAATAGGAGATTTTGTGGCGACAGGGTGGTGATGGGGCCAGGATGACTCACACCAGTAACCAAAGAGCCTCATGGTGTGTGTTTGTGCCTGTCAGGGTCTGTCTCCTCCTCACAGGGGTCTGTCCAGGCTCTGGCCGGCACAGACATGGCTGGAAGCACAGCAGGGGGGTTGGAGGTTGTAGGGAAGCTCCCGGGAGCTGCAGTCTGGGCAGGACTCTGTGGGCATTGTGCCAGCAGCTCCTTGCTTGTTTACAACACCACTAATCCCTCTGCTGTTCCCGTTTTCCGTGAGGGCTTCTTGATTACTGGGAGCTGTTCCTCAGGGCAGGATCCCTGGGTGCTCATGGATGCTCAGGTCCCATTCCCTGCTCCGTGATCCCTCTCAGGGCACCCACAGCAGCTGGTGCGTCCCAAAGGTGCTCCAGGGCGAGCTGGGGATTAAGGGCAGGGAGCAGCTTGTCCCCAGCAGGGACGTCAGCAGCCAGATACTGTGTCCCCATTCCCCAGGGCTGGGGTCTGGGAGCTGGGATCAGCCATGCCCGGCTGACCGGGTGTCCTTGCTCCCGGCTGGCTGCAGATCCAGGGATTAGGAGCTGCCAGCTGCTAATGGGGGTGGCCAGGAGGTGTTTGTGTGGCAGGCAGAGCTCCAACAGGGGCTCTGACCCCGCTCTTGGTTGGGGCCACCCTCCCAGATGTCCTCCTGGGGCAGCCTCTTGTACCTTGGGCCCCTGGGGGTGGCAGCACCGACTCCCACGTGGGTTATCCTGCTGCCAGAGAAACAGGACTTCCCGGTGCTGCTGGACTCTGCCCCGTCTCCTGTGCAGCACAGCAGGAGGAGAGTGTTCCCTGCTGTGTCCAGGCACTGAGCAGGAGCTCAGGGGGGCATCAGGGTGGGCTCAGGCTGGTGGGAGCCTGGGGTGTGCAGGCTGGGCTGAGCTGAGCTGGCTCTGAGCAGCTGCTGTGGCTCTGGAGCCCACCTTGCTCCCTCTGTCTGCCAGGATTTTGGTCCCACTGTGGTAAGGCTGGTTTGTTTTAAGCTGGTTTTAAGTGAGTTCCTTGGAGTTGGCTTTGGTTTGTAGCCCTGGGAGATTGTGATGGCTGTTCCCAGAAAGAAAACTCGGGAAGGCTGTCCTGAAACCATGGCTTTGCCTTTACCACCTCCCCTTGCTCCTACCCTGCAGCAGCAAAGCAAACTGAAGCCTGGATTTCCTTCCCTGGTGACAGGCTCTGACATCCCACACCGTTCTCCCACAGTCATCAGGAGTATCCTGAGTGGGAAGGGACTCACAAGGACTGCACAGACACCCTAACAATCCCACCCTATCCCTCAGAGCATTGTCCAAACCCTCCTGGAGCTCTGGCAGCCTTGTGGCTGTGCCCACTGCCCTGGGGAGCCTGTTCAGTGCCAACCACCCTTTGGGGGAAGAACCTTTTCCCCATATCCATCCCCACACTGGGCAGGCAGCAGGATGTCCTGTGGGTGCTGCAGGGTGGTTTTTGCCTGTCTCTGTGCTTTTGCAGGGTGAAAAGGAGGAAGATGGCTGACAAGGTGCTGCCACAGAGGGTGAGTGATGCCTTGGCATGGGGGGGTGCAGCTGAGCTGCTGCAGGGGGGTGATGGGGTCCCCACAAAAGGAGGATCTACTGAGCTGCCTCCTGCCCACTGGGCATTTCTGTTCAGTCCCAAACTGACCTGGAATATTTCTGTCTCTTCCTCTGGGGTGGCAGGAGGGGTTTGGGGTGTGTTAAGTTGGACAAGCAAGACTTAGAGCAAGCAGGGAACAGCAGTGGCTTGGGGTGGAGACCTCAGGAGGACCCTAAGCCTTTCCTGGAGGTCCCTCTTGACAATCCAGGAATTCATTTCATGCCTGTGACAGGCTCTGAACTGATCTGGGGAGAGCTTTGCAGGGCTGCAGTCTTTGCTTAAAATAAGAACTTGGTGCTGTTGTGCTGGACCTGTTGCTTGAAGGCTCCTCGGCGTGTCAGCTCAGCACTGGCTGTGCTGCTGGGGCTGTGGGGGGATCCAGCCCCAGCCCAGCACTCCAGAGTGACCATCTCTGTGTGACAGATCAGGGAGCTGGTTCCAGAGTCCCAGGCCTACATGGACCTCCTGGCCTTCGAGCGCAAGCTGGACCAAACCATCGCTCGGAAGAGGATGGAGATCCAGGAGGCCATAAAGAAACCCCTGACGGTGCGTGGCAGCCCTGCCTGGGGGGGTGGGGGCTGCAAACCACGGGAGCATGGAATCACAGCATGAGTCAAAGATGGAAAAAAACCCTCTAAGACCATCGAGTCCAACCATCAGCCCAGCACCACCACTAAACCACGTCCCCAGGTGCCACGTCCACACAGTTTTTGGACAGTTCCAGGGGTGGTGACTCTACCAATGCCCTGGGCAGCCTGTTCCAGTGCTTTACAAGCCTTTCTTTGAATAAAATTTCCCTAATATTTAATGTAATAATTAATCTAATTTAATCTAAACCTCCCCTGGTGCAACTTTGAGACCATTTCCTCTCGTGCAGAGGTAGAAGTGGGTGCTGCAGTCACCCTCTCACTCCAGTCACCCTCACCCTCTGTTTTCCCATTCCACAGCAAAAGCGGAAGCTGAGGATTTACATCTCCAACACTTTCACCCCAGCCAAGGAAGAGGGAGAGGGGGGAGAGCGTGTGGCCTCCTGGGAGCTGCGTGTGGAGGGCAAACTGCTGGAGGATGTAAGGATCCAGGAGGGATGAAGTGGTAGAGGGAGGAGAAGTGATGGTCCACAAGGATCCAGGAGGATAAAGTGGTGGGAGAAGTGCTGATCCATAAGTGTCCAGGAGGATGAAGTGGTGGGAGGAGGACTGGTCTGTAAGGATCCAGGAGGATGAAGGGCTGGTGCTGTGAGCCAAGAGCTCATCTGGGATGGACACAGCCCTGTTCCAGGGGCTGGAGGTGGGTTTGGGCTGGGGCCCTCCCTGGCTAGGGGGGGGTCAGACGAGTCTCTGCTGCTCTGTTTGCAGCCCAGCAAGCAGAAGAGGAAATTCTCCTCCTTCTTCAAGAGCCTTGTCATCGAGCTGGACAAGGAGCTGTATGGCCCAGACAACCATCTGGTGGAGGTGAGGCATGAGGGGTGGTCCTGCTGCTTCCCCTCTGGGTGCTCAGCTCCCCACCCCAGGGCGTGTCTTGCTGCAAGAGAGGGGTGTGCAAGGGGTGTTTCTGTGTGCCAGGGGGTGCCAGACCCTCCTCAGGGGCCCACGCTGCTTTCCAGGCTCAAGTTTAGGGCTGCATTTTCTTCCCTAGTACTGGTTCCTGGCCCCCACCCTGCAAAGTCTGCAGCCAGAGCCAGGAGCTGTGGAGCTGCAGCTCCAGAGGCTGCTCAGGCAGCCCTGGACCCCCCAGGTTGGCACAGGGAGGCCCCACAAGGGTGATGATGCCACAGGAGGCTCATCCACACATCTGGTGCCACGTGGGAAGAAGGGGCTGCCCTCTTGCCTGTCAGCCTTGCTGGAAGGTCCTCAGGGAGGTGAAGCACTGTGAGTGGGATCAGGCCTTCCCTGGGTGCTCCTGCCTGGAGCTCCTGAGCAGGCTTGCCCTGCACCCAGCTCGTGGTTTTTCCTGTGGGAAACACTTATTTCTGTGGTGGTGCTCGATGTGATGGGAATCCCCTCCACATGTGGGATTGTGAGCAGCTCTGATGTGCATCCCCTGCAGTGGCTGAGGCAGGATTGATCCTGCACTGGCTCCAGGAGCTGTTGGAGCCCTTGACATCAAGCACTCGGGGCTGGAACTGCCCCAGCCCATCCAAAATGCTGATCCATCACTGGGCTGGAGCACATCCAGCTGGACTGGGTGTCACCCACTGGGATGAGACTCCCAGGAGCTGCCAGAGGTGGGCTCCAGGCTGTCTGCCTGTGCTAGACCCCTGCCCAGAGCCTGAGCACTGGCTCTGCAGACACAAGGCCTGTCCTGGTCCTGGATTGACCAGTGTCCCCTTGGTCTCGCAGTGGCACCGGATGCCCACGACCCAGGAGACCGACGGCTTCCAGGTGAAGCGTCCCGGGGATGTCAATGTGAAGTGCACTCTGCTGCTCATGTTGGATCACCAGGTATGGCCCTGGGGCCTTACAGGGGCTGGGAGTACCTGCTGCCCTCCCTCCAACACAGCTCACCTGGGAGGGGCAGCCCAGGGTGGGGAATGGGCTGGGGCAGGGCTGGGATGAGGGTTGGGGGTGCAGGGATCATGGGGAGCTCTGGGGATGGACCCACAGCCTGTGGTGACACAGGGGCTGTGTGGGACTCCCTGCTCAGAGGGGCCTCCCAAGTGCCAGACAGACCCCCCACTTCTTTGTGCATCAGAAGGAATTTCTTCGTGCAAAGGGTTGTTAAACATTGGGATGAGCTGCCCAGGGAGGTTTGGAGTCCCCGTCCCTGGAGGTGTCCAAGGAAGGACTGGACGTGGCACTCGGTGCTCTGGGCTGGGGGACAAGGTGGGGGTGGCTCACAGGCTGGACTGGGTGATCTTGGAGGGCTTTTCCAACTTCAGTGACTCTGTGACTGCCCCTGTGTGTCCCTGCAGCCCCCCCAGTACAAGCTGGACCCCCGCCTGGCCCGGCTGCTGGGGGTGCACACCCAGACCCGGGCCAGCATCATGCAGGCCCTCTGGCTCTACATCAAGCACAACAAGCTGCAGGACAGCCATGAGAAGGAGTACATCAACTGCAACCGCTACTTCCGCCAGGTACCACACCTGGGATGGGGAAAAACACCCCTCCCACCCCCTCCAGCCAGGAAAAGCCTCTTCTCCAGCTGTCACAGACTCTCCAATCTGCCCAGTCTCCATTTACCCCTTCCCCAGGCTCTGGTTTGCATCCACCACCTTGCCACACTCAAACCAGGGCTAGGGATCCACCCACCTGCCTGGACAGGTGGCAGGAGGCCCTGCCATGGGCAGCAAACACTCTGCTTTGCCCCTCCAGATCTTCAACTGCATCCGCATGCGCTTCTCCGAGATCCCCCTGAAGCTGGCAGGGCTCCTGCAGCACCCGGATCCCATCATCATCAACCACACCATCAGGTGGGAGGGGCAGCATTCCCGGGGCTGGGGGGCTCTGTGGGGTGGGCAGTGGGATGGGCAGTGTTTCTGGGAATGGGGGGGCTCCGTGGAGTGGGGAGTGGGACAGGCAGCATCCCTGGGGGGTTCTGTGGGATGGGCAGTATTCCTGGGAATAGGGGCCTCTGTGGGATGGGGAGTGGACTGGATGGTGTCCATGGGGCTGGGGAGCTCCATGAGGTGGGGAGTGTCCCCAGGAATAGGGGCCTCTGTGGGATGGGCGTGTCTTTGGGAAAGGGGGACTCTGGGGGGTGGGCAGTGGGATGGGCATGTCTTTGGGAATGGGGGGCTCTGTGGGGTGGGCAGTGGGCTGGGCAGTGTCCCCAGGCTCCATGGAGGGGAGGGCCAGGAGGCTTCTGAGGTCTCCAGCCCAAAGGAACAGTGAGCACAAGTCACCAGCGAGGGGAAGAATCAGCCAAACAAATGTGGGGGCTCCTTGGGGCAGTCAGGGGGTCAATGCAGCCCCACAGCAGGGTGGAGGCTGAGGAGGGCCCTCCCCCAACACCCCATGTCCTCCCAGTGTGGACCCCAATGACCAGAAGAAGACGGCCTGCTACGACATCGACGTGGAGGTGGACGATCCCCTGAAGGCTCAGATGAGCAACTTCCTGGCTTCCACCACCAACCAGCAGGAAATCGCCTCCCTGGATGCCAAGGTGGGGACACTGCCAGGGCACAGCCCTGCAGAGCTGGGGGCAGCGTGGTGATGCCTTGTTTGGGGGGACACAGCTCCCTCTCACCCCTCCTCTCTCCCCAGATTCATGAGACCATCGAATCCATCAACCAGCTGAAGACACAGAGGGATTTCATGCTGAGCTTCAGCAACAACCCACAGGATTTCATCCAGGAATGGATCAAATCCCAGAGGAGGGACCTAAAGGTAAAGGGGACATATTGCCAGGGGAGGGTTAAGTTGGATATTAGGAAAAATTTCTTCATGGAAAAGGCTGTCCAGCCCTGGCCCAGGCTGCCCAGGGCAGTGATGGAGTCACCATCCCTGGAAGTGTTCAACAACACGTGGATGTGGCTCTTGGGAACATGGTTTAGTTATGAGTTGATGGTTGAACTTGATGATCTTAAAGGTCTTTTCTAACCTCAGCACTTCCATAATTCTCAAACCCTGGTGCTGGGCAGAGCGAGGGGCTGGGAGGAGGTTCGGGTCCATCCCTGGTGCTCATTCCATGTGCCCCCCACCCCGTGTGTCGCTCAGATCATCACGGATGTGATCGGGAACCCCGAGGAGGAGCGGCGGGCGGAGTTCTACCAGCAGCCCTGGGCGCAGGAGGCTGTGGGCAGACACATCTTTGCCAAGGTGGGCTCCTGGGGGTGCAGAGGGGGTTGGGATGGCACTGAGGGGATCCCTCTGACTGCCCTGCTCTCCTCCAGGTCCAGCAGCGCCGGCAGGAACTGGAACAAGTGCTCGGGATCCGCCTCACCTAAAGGGCGGGCGGGGGCTCGGGGGCTCCTCCTCTCTCGCTGCTGCCTGAGCCTGACGGTACTTACTGGAATCAAACAGCACTTGCACAAACCCGACGTGCCTGGAGGGACTGGGATCCGCTCACACCCCTGGGCTCCACTGGGCCGGGAAGTTCTGGCCCCGGGCAGAGCGCAGAGGGGGATCCCCTGTCCCCCCAAAGCCCCGCAGTTACGCCCCCTCCTCCTGCTTTGCATCGCGCCCCTCGCCCCTCCTTTAGAGCCCCCGCGGCCCCTCCCGCTCCCCTCCCGAGCCCAAAAACCTCCGGGAGCTGGGAAGAGCTGCCTGTGCCGAGGGGGAGGTGCTGCCAAGCCCCTCCCTGAGCCCAGCAGGCCCAGCCCTGCCCCTCTTCAACCAAAGTTTGTCATTCCAAACGCCAGC